GTCAACAACCGAGCTAGCTGTCGCACAACTTTATTACATCTGCCTAAGAGGAGGACAGAGCAATTCACAGGTTACATATCAGCTGTGAGGGCGGCTTTACACCATCGATTCACCTGACTCTTCTCCGAAGAGACGCTTTCAGATGTGGAAAAGTTCAAGTGCAACTTAAACTGTGCACCGACGACTGCTGTCCCTCCTGTGTGTGTGAGTGTGTGTGTGAGTGAGTGAATGTGTGAGCAATTGTGATTGAAGGTGATTTTTTTTTTTTTTTTTTGCATGTACACAGTAGTGAGAGAGTTGCCATTCTCGGGTGCAGATTCAATTGGCGTTTGTTTTTTTGTATGTGTGTTCAATTCACACCAGCAGAAGATTCTCGCCCTCCCTCCCTTATGACMTCCCCCTGCTCCCATATTAAAATTGTAAAGAGCATTTTAAACCAATTCTGAGTTACCCAAAGCCCCATAGGGACCTGTATCTGTGGAACAAAGAATTATCAAGAGCCATTTTGTAAAATATATATTTTTTTTAATATGGGGTTTAAGTTTTACATTAGAATGTTTTTTGTCCTGAACCATGCGACATTCAAACGGCACTAAGTTATTGACATCAGATTTGTTGGGTAATGGAAACTAGTTATGAAGAAAAAAACATTCAAAMTTTGCAATTTGAGTGAGGCATGTTTAGAAACAAAATTAAAATGTTAGCGAAGGATTCTTTTATAAGAAAAGCTGATGATTGTAATTATTGGAGAAAACAATGCGGCCCTAAAGAGAAAAGACGACTAACTAGAACTACGTTCTGAGAGCAGCGTTAGGGAGTGTTGTTGCAATCCTGGAAAAAACAAAACGACAAAAAAAAAAAAAAACACAAACTGCCTTCCTGTTCATACAGTTGCACACAAACCCTCAGTATGTATGACACCCTCACTGCACTTTGAGTGGTCTTTCTGCTCTCTTGCACATACAACAGTGGCGTGAATCCATAAAAAGTTTATAGGCTCATGGCTGCCACACTTGGCCATCATTTATGGCTTAAAAGGTTGCATCGGTAAAGACTTCAAACCTAACAGGAGATCGCTGAAGGAATCGAGTCCTCACTATGCCTCTATGCACCCAAAGGGAGCGACTGACCCAGGCATTAAAACTCATTGTAAGGCACAGCAGCCTCATCTCGAGGGTACTATTCTTGGAGCTTAGAGAGAATTCAGCATCATCAATCCCTTTTTGCTCTCCAGCCAAGTTATTCACTGGTCTTTGCACCATTCAGAGCTTTCTTCCTCCCTTTTTCAGGGTATGTTATGGCAATTAGCTACAGACTGATATACAGTAAAATGTTAAAAACAGTGCTTTTCTCTCTGTTTTTATTGAACATTTTTGTTACTTTTTTGTTTTTGTTCACATTATATCTTTTTTTTTGGTTGATCTTTATCCCTGTATGATCATATTAAAATATAACCAGACATTTGGAGTCCTCCTTTTTCTTTTTTTTATTCATATCTTTAAAACTCCTCTTATATTTGTTTTACATGTATGTTTTTGTTTGTATTTAGTTGCATTTTATCTAGCACCACTATCAAGTAAATATGCACATTAGCACCCATGCCAGTAGGAGTTGGGAGGAATCTTTAGTGTGTTGCATCTACTTAAATCAGGTTCTAACAATTCACCCCTCGCCTTTTAAAGGAATTTCATTTTTTGTGAAAAATTGATCGCATCTCTGTGTAATTAACCTCTCTTCCCTTGGTGTGCCATCATAGGTGGGCGATTGTTTTTCCTAATGCGTTTCCAAACCAAATTAAATGCTATGTTTTCTGTAGGTTATGTAAAAACTGCTAAACTCCAGGACCACAGAATGGACTCCTCTGATGCCATACACCATTTCAAAAGACTTGAAAAATAATTTACAAAAAAAATGTGCACACTAAGAACCCGGGAAAAGCATTTCAATAAAAACCCATCATTCACCTGCTGGTGGCAAAAATGCTATGTTTGTATGCAACCTGGTGTTTTCTCTGTTCTGTCTGAGTTTACCAAGGAAGTTGTTTCTGATTTAACTCTTGTCTTATTTCTCTGAGGTGATGGTGTGGTGGGCTGGGACTGGGTGGGACTAAGGGCTTACTGTAGCTTCTCTGAGTTCCTTTGGGCGAGGGTGGGAAGGGAAGATGTGTTGGTTTGCGTTCAATGTCTTATTTGGAAAAAAAAGTGATTATAATGTTTTGTATTGTTGTGTAGGAAAAGTGTTATGTATGCATATTTTCAATAAAGAATTCAGGGTTTTGAGAAAAAAAATCTGACCCGTGGGAGTTTGATGGTGCAGGATCATGATTTCTTCACCCATCAGATGTCTAGAAACTTTACCCCCAACCCTGCTCAGGTTCTGTTGATTTGGCAAAGCTTGAGTCAATGTGTGTAGTGGAAAAGTCTGTTATTTTTATTTGTTTAAAAAAACAAGTCTTTGTATTAAGTCATTTATGTCTTAGTAATGATGTTAAAGGTAATTTTATCCAAAAGTGTCTCAAAGCAAGATCATTTACCAGTAAAGTTCATTTATTTTTAGGTTTGTTTATGGCTGTCAGCCATTTATTTGAACATAAAGTTTACAATTGAGAGAAATTAAAATGAGAAGTGTGAAGGTTAGTATTAAATATGTAAAAAAAATTGTCTACATCCTTCACACCAATATTAAAAATGGCTCATATGTAAATGCAGTGACTGGATTTTGTGGTGGGAAAATCAGGAGTGGTTTAAGTTTGTCAGAAGAAGCTTGTCTATAAAGATTGACTCCAAATGAAAATGTTCAAATTAGTTTTTGTTTGGTAGAAACTGAGAAGATAACTGGGTTTTAATTTAGCACCATTTTGAGACCTCTGCACCTACGCGCTGCACTTTTGTTTATATCTGAAAGAGGAGGGGCGCTTGAATTCGACGTCACTATGCCCCGCCCCCAGTCGCCTCCACAGTCTCGGCGTTTCTCAAAAATCTCAAGCAGAGTTGCAGCGCAGCGCGGCTGCGGTGGCACGAACTGGCTGGCTGGAATAATATCCCAAAAGCAGTCATGGCGGCGCCGTTAGCCCACTTCGATGAGGACTGGCAGGATTTCAACGAATTCACGCCGTCCTCGGAGTCGGACCAACAGCTGGACCAGCTGAACTCGAATGTGGGCGACCCGACGGGCCTAGACGATTTGTCCGACCTGGACAACAGTTTCTCCGGCGAGATCTGCAGCTTCAAGTCGATGGAGGACCTGGTCCACGACTTCGACGAAAAGCTGACAGTGTGTTTCCGAAACTACAACACTGCGACAGAGAACATAGCTCCCGTTAAACCCATCACGGAGGATAACTTCTTGAAAGACGACGAGTGAGTTTGAAATTTACGCGAGTTTTGTTTAAGACAACTTTAAATTTCTCGGCTAGCTAGCCGCGTTAGCCTCTGAAGCTAACCTCACGTTCATAGTCAATCACTGAGGGAATCTCAGCTGCCTTCAGTCAGAGCAGAACAGTTATTCTGCTTCAAATTACAGTTCTGTTTACGAATTTAATATGTCAGTAAAGATAATTTAACCATATATTTTTGCTTTTCTATTTGTGTGTTAAAGACAAACTTCAGCTTTCAGAACATCATAACCTCATTTTGGAATATTGTTTTTTGTGGTTATTATTATAGGCTGGAATAAATAAGGAAAGTCAGAGTCATTTTTTGCTCTACAGAGYCAGTGCGCTGTATGCCAGACACATGTTACTTTAAAGATTTATCTGTCTGCATCTGTTGCTGTTTTCTCTGTGGGAGGTCCTCAGCAGTTGTTGCATCTCAGTGGGACCCCCAAATGTCACAGCATCACATTCACGTGGTGTTACTGCACATTTATCCCACTGCGGGCATAAATGTCACTTTTACAGCAATKCCTCCGGGATGAATCACACTTCTCTTGCCCTTTGCATCTTCTATACAAGGCTCTTAGATCTGACCACATGATGTGGAGCAAGCATGTTCACACAGCRTGACAGCTTTATTGGAAAACAAAAACATTTCAGTATGAACATGAGAATACAGGATACTAATTTTASATCATACAAATATTTACTCTTTAATGTGCATTCATGATACATTACGAAGAGGTTGAATCTTGCAGGAGTAAAGATGGGTTCAGCCTTTTATTTAACATTTAAGTTTRCTGTTCTGTTGTGAATAAAATGTRGGTTCATGAAATTTGCAATCCGTTGTGTTTTGTTTCTGTTCACATTTTACACAACTTTTTCAGAGTTTGGGTTGTACGCTGAGATGGACGGATTGTGTCTTCAGTTGCTKTTGAAATGCTGTTTGAATGCATCGAATGGGTTTTAGGGGGGGAAAAGGGGGGAAACAGACAGTTAAAATTTAAAGAATGTGAAGAAATTTTGTAACTGATTAATTGAATATTAGATTCAGTTTTGTATTTTATACTTTCTGATCATTACAGCTTTAAGGCCATAACAGAATAAGAGTTGGTGTGTGTGTGTGTGTGTTACCATGTGTTCTTTCTCTTAGCCTAAACAAAACTGAGTGACGTTCTGACGTAAAAGGTAACACCTCTGAGGTGTAACCAGGATGCGATGAACATTATAAGCTGAAGTCATTATTATAGTAGAAAGAAGTTGTCAGTGTTTTTGCAGAGTGTCTGCTCAGAGCAGAGCTCCCGTGTTTGTTTTGGTTTGGCCCAAGGTTGTACGCTGAGGCCTGTGCTGCTCACTGCTGTATGAACTTGATTGGAGCCAGAGGACTGAAAATAAAGTTTTTAACAAGAAACCCAGCTGAATCCTGTTTATTCGGACATACCATTTATGATTATATTTTTCCAACAATTGTATTTTGATTAAATAGGACAGAAAAAAAACTTGAGTTTGTCGAGAGAAACCCAGGAAGGAAAGTATGAAATAACTGGGCAGCAGCCTCCTGAAGCTGAAGTCATTTCTGGATGGCTGCACTTTTGCAGAACGTCGTGCAACTGCTGCCTAATAAGTTCCCTTTTATGCAACACCGCTGATAAACTGCAGAGTGGCGAGGATGAAGTTCATGTTTGTGCACTTTAGTTACAGTAGGTAAGAAGAAGTCAGATTATATTAAAGCTGAGTCGTGCATGTGGGGTTAAGCATGTCTGCACAAAACATCTGCATAAACATAAGCACCGGAACACAAAAATGGGATGACGATCCTTGAAATAAGTCTCTCTTTTTTTTTTTTAATGCAAACCCCCACTGTTCGACGCTAAAGCTGATGGCAGGCGTTCACGTGCCCGAAACACTGTTGTTGCTCGAAGCAGAAAACGTTTTCATGCCAGGCTTTGCCCTATTTAGAACAACCCAACGAGTCATGAAGCAGCGCCTGAACACTTCAGGGAGAAACATGCATGTTATATAAACACTGGTGTGTGTAAGAGAGAAAACATAGAGCCGCTGTGACACATGGGTTCTCAGCAGCCATCCTTCAGCACCCGGAGCCAAGATTATAAAAAAAACACCCCTCTTGACTTTAAATCCCTAACATTTTTTTTTTTACAAACAAACCTAACATATCTAATTGTCCATGTTGTTTTGAATCCTTTAAATCTGCTAACAACATATGTTTTGGAAAACCAAATGTAGTTTCTGAGTGAATTTGTTGTGTTTCAACAGACTCTGCTCCACCATCTGGCTTAGGTGTTTTTTTTTTTTTTTCTGCCAAGTTGCACGCAGCAGAACGTTGTAAACATGCGACAGTCTGTTCAGTGTAACATTCAACAGGGTTTCTAAAACAGACAAGATGATCTGCAAATGTATAAATGCTCTAGTCGGTTGGAACACAATTTACAGAGAGCAGATAAGTGTCACGCAGCTCGCTGCTGATGTGTAAAGAAATGTTTGTGTGAGGCAGCAGAAGAAACACGGGGAGGGGGGGGTGTCAGAGAGCAGACTGCCACGTAATGTTGTGTCACAGTGGAAAGAGAAGGAAACTGGSTTTGTTAGATCTACAGATTAAAACTCTTCCTTTTTTTTTTTGTCTTTTCTGTCTGAACTCATCCGTTTTCTTCGTGCTCTCCTCCAGGGTGTGGAACGCTTTGACGAACAACTTTGGCAACGTGATGCCTGTGGACTGGAAGACATCTTACACTCGCTCCCTGCACTTACCCGCCCTCAAACTCACTGAGCGTGAGGTACCACCGACAACCCCYCGCATCTACACAAAACCTGTCATTTTATCCAAATAAGTTTCACGGTATTTAAATAGAAATCGTCCTTTGAATTATTAATTAGGTGTACAGAGTTAACGTCTGATCTATTTGTCACATTTTTTTTTTCATTTAAAGATTTCTAAAAGATATTTTTGCAACAATTTCAGCAATTTGAAGGTGTGTTTGTAGCTGCAATTATGATGAGCTAAGTTAGTAATAAATCGACACCTGAAATATTTTTATTACAAGCAGTTTTAAGTAATTAGAAAAGAATATCACTAAAAGAAGTTGTACAGAAAAAGTATTGTTTGTTGCATGAGCAGTGCTCTGATCAGTTTGATTCTTGTCTCTGCCCGTCTCCCTAAGGGACAGAATGTGGATAACCACTCGTCAGATCTGTCAGACGACGACGAGGAGCTGAGGGAACAGTTGGACATGCACTCGATCATCGTGTCCTGCATCACCGACGAGCCGCTCTTCACAGCTGAACAGGTAACGGATTAGGATCACTTGTCTTTATATCTACAATTAAATCTGCCTCCAAATTTTTTACACAATCCTAAATTCATAAAACGGCCTTAAAATATAATAATAAAACTAATCCAAGCGTTTTTCAGTCAGCTTTTGTTTTTCCTCCTGTTATTGTCTCCTCATCCTGAGATGTAGCTTTATTTACAGAGTTTGTAAAAAAAAATGAAAGCATCTAATTTGGTTTTATTTGCACAAATTTCTGTTGTTGCCAGTTGTTTTTAAGAAGTTAAATACAAGCTGAATAGAACCTCAGAAAAAACATTTTTATCTGTAAATATTTGTGCTTTTTTGTTATAATTTGAGAAAGATCAGCTTTAATGTGACTTTAACATCAGACAGAAACCAGCTTGTGAAGAAATCTAATCTAATCTAACCTTGATGCAGGAGCAGAAACATTATTTCGTCTAAATGTTGTGACGTTGCTAGGTTATTGAGGAAATAGAAGAGATGATGCAGGAGTCCCCCGACCCGGACGATGAYGAGAGTCCSTCCCAGTCCGACTTGTCCATGCTGTCTCAGGACCTCGGCGCGTTGAAACGTTCGGGTTCCAACACGAGCTGTGAGGAACGTGAGTGTTGCTGTGCACGTGAACACACACACGCACCGGTTATCTCCACTCGTTGAGTGTAGTGTGAAACCCAAATRAGATGAACTGTAATGGGACACGGCRTCCTGTATGAGATGCATAGAGCACGTGTACACAAGTGAACATGTCCTTACATAATCCGTCACAAATAGTGAATGTGTTGTCCCAAACGTTACGTAATCAACTTGATATAATTGGTTTAACAAAATGTCCAAAGTTAAACCAGTGTATTCTAACAAATATTTGGTGACATTTAGCTARTATAAGCCAGATCTACTGAAAAGATTTCCATCTCCTCACGTGGACCCCAGGTCTGCGGCAGCTGTCGGTGTCGGAGCTCAACCAGACTCTGGAGGAAGTGGAGGCAGCCATCTGCCGCTACAGCGAGGAGCTGATCAAGGCTCTGGCTCTGAGGGACGAACTGGACTTTGAAAAGGAGGTAAGATGTTCAGAGAGCATAAAACAGCAGCTCATACATCCTGTTCATCACTACCAACCTAACCAGCTGCTTCATTTTGACATCATTTATTTTTAAGTAGTTTGACTGAATCCAAAAATAGAATCCTCGACGTGTAATACATCCAAGTAACCACAAATACTTTAATATATTGGATATATACATTAAATATACTTTGAGAAAAATACTCCTGACAAACGCTTCGTTTTTAAAGGGATGCCTGATTAGTTGTAACGTTAGATTTTATTTGATAAACATATATTTTAACTGTAAAATAAAGACTAAAAATACTGTAGGCTGTTTAGTTTTGTAAATTTTTAAAAATATATTTTAACACGGAYGGAGCCATTTTATTTACACACAAAGCATTCTGGGTAAATGATGACGTGTATAGGTCCTCGGTGTGAGGCTGCTAGCGAGCTATATCCACCCTGAAGGTTAATCTTGGACAATATCTGATGATCGACTCTTTTAAATGAAACCAGAGGGCGTTGACAGAGAGGAGAAGGTAGAAATGACTCAGAGCTGCTTCATGGAAGAAGAACCTCAGCTTAGCCTGTTAGCCTTTGCGCTAGCGCCAACGCTATAATGCCTTATATGTATTAGCTTGGTGCTAGTGCGACAAACGAACAAGCTAAACTGAGGTCCTCCATCTGTATTTTCAGTTACAGGCTGAGTCATTTCTGTGTTCCCCTCTCTGTCATGTGGATGGAGGACCTCAGTGACGAAAGGAGAATGTGTAGCACTGAGCTAATACATATATATGGTGATAGCGTCTAGGCTTCCATGAAGCAGCTCTGTTGTCCTCCATCTGTATTTTCAGTTACAGGCTGAGTCATTTCTACCTTCTCCTTTCTGTCAACGCTCTCTGGTTTCATTTAAGAGTTGATCATCAGATATTGTTCAAGATTAACCTTCAGGGTGGATATAGCTCGCTAGCAGCCTCGCACCGAGGACCTATCCACATCATCATTTACCCAGAATGCTTTGCGTGTAAATAAAATGGCTCCGTCCGTGTAATATATTTTTAAACTTTTAGTTTAAAAATTATAAAAACTAAACATCCTACAGTATTTTTACAGTCTTTATTTTATAGTTAAAAATATGTTTATTAAATAAAGTCTAATGTTACAACTAATCATGGATCCCTTTAATAAACAACAAGAATGAAACAGATTTGTCACCCCGCAGGTGAAGAACAGCTTCATCTCGCTGCTCATCGATGTTCAGAACAAACAGAAGGAGCACCGCGAGCTGCTAAGAAAGAAGAAGAAGATCCGAAGTTCGACCGGGCCCAACGGTCAGAGGACAGCCAGCACCCACGTCCCCGGCACGGTGAGCAGAACACTCCTCAGCTCAACGCATTTTTATGCCGATATGTCTGATTTTCATAGTAGTTCCTTTCCTTCTCGCACAGAGGGGTTTTCAAGGTCTTTCTTTCGTCAATCTCTTTCTTTTCCTCCCTTCTTCTCACTCCTTGTAGCAGCTCCTCACTCTGGAGGGACTCTCCAGTGTCATTCAAAATGGCCTCCGTCAAACTTTTGGCTACACAGGAGGGGACAAACAGGTGGCCCTGCTCGCTCGTCTCCCTGCAGATTTGTTTCCGTGCTGCTTTCTCTTACTTTCCACCAGCATGCTCCTTTTTCTTTTTTCCACAGCTTCCTCCAGTATATTTTTTTCCATATTTTTCATCACTCRCTTCTTTTCTTTTTATTTCTCAGTCACTCGTCTTTTTAAGTTTTCAGTTTTATCTCATGAGGTCTCCAAGACCCCGACAGGCTGCATGTTTTAAAACTTTGTCACAGTAATGACACGTCTTTTTGTTCCAGAGATGCAGCAGAAGTAAGTTAATGCTGCTTTTTTTTTTTCAGTACCTGACCACAGTGATCCCTTATGAGAGGAAATCTGGCTCCCCGTCTATAGAAGACCTCCAAATCCTGACGAAGAGTGAGTCTGATCTTCCTCAGCGTGCAACACTGAGCTGTTTTACTTTCTGCTTAAGTGTGCATTGCAGCGTGAAACCATAACACGCTTCTCTCATCGCACCAGTCCTCCACGCCATGAGGGACGACAGCGAGAAGGTCCCCGCCCTCCTAACAGACTACATCCTCAAAGGTAAAACRCTTCCACCTTTTTCTGACAGGTCACCCAAAACTACAGACATCTTTTAAACAGGCTTAGATGCTTGGCGAAAAATGTTTTAAAATCTCAGGTTCAACCAGATGCTACTTTTTATTTCAACTGGGTTGAGATTCCAACTCTGCACCCACAAAACCAATCTGCAAGAAAACTCCATTTAATACTGTATCACCTCTGTAAATAGAGTAATCTTAATTAAAGTAGGAAGATATTTATGGTTCATAATTTAAGGAAGATAAAAAAGTTTTTTTTAGTTTATACAAAAAATAAAACAATAACATTAAAATGTTTGAACAGGAATAACATGAAGCAAATGCTTATCTAGTCCTACCCCATTCTCTTTTATTCAAACAATATTCAGTTCAATATAAAATTATTTTAAACCACTGACAAATCATTTCAAATAGAATTCATAATACTGTGAAATGTTTAAAAGAGACGTTTGATTTATTTTGTTCTGTTCTTTAACTGTTGAAGGAGATTTTTTAGTGGGAATATAATTGTGTTTAAAACATTTTAAACAGTCACCACTATTAAAAGTTAATAAAAAATTTTATGCGAAGCTAATGTAATAATTATTAAATAGTAAATAAAAGTGAGAAAAACAGTAAAAGTTGATGTTTCTTTACGTATTTTGTAGTATTGTGTGTCAGTTTGCAAAGGGGGTCTCCAGCCAGAAGCTAATGCTAGTAGACAATTTTTTTTGTGCATAGGGAAGCATAGCTCTTCCGGGTCACAGGTCAACTGGGTAAACGTTAGGTTGCTTTGAAAACACCATTAAAATTGTGCAAATTGTTTTGATTGTGATGGGGAAAATAAACTTTTTTTTTTTTAAAGTAATGTGTCCCTTCATGTGGGTGAAAAGAGGAAGCACAAAGTTCACGTCTGTTTTCAGTGAAGTTTGTTGACATGTTCCTTCCTTGTCCTCTCACCTGTGCTGCACTGTCCTCTGGGTAGCTCTGGTATGAAAGCAGTTGGACCCTGAGGTTTGTGAGGCCAACGCAGCTCCTTCCTCCTCTTCCTCCTCTTCCTCTCCGTAGCATCCCTGCTAACCCGAAGCAGCGGCCCTCCATGCTTCGCTCTTTGCCGTGGCTCCAGCTGTTCTGTGCAGAGCTTGTAGCTGCACTCACCCTCCCTCCCTACTTCCCTCCCCAGGAACACACGCTTCTAATTAGTCTTCCTCCGAGCTCGTTGTAGCAGCTGCTTGCACCTGTAATTACAGTTTTCCTCTCCTCGCGTCGCGCTTCTCTTCCTGCCGTAGCCGCTCTCCCATAGTTCACAGCTCTCCTTCACCAGCGGACGTTTATCACCAGCTGCTGTTTYCTTCTCTCCACAGTTCTGTGTCCCACGTAAACTCACAAGGAGATGACGTGTTTTTCTCGAGCCACCAGCAGAGGGGACGGGGGGCGGGGTTTGGTAAACTGGAAAATCACAAACTGGAATAAGAAAAAAACCCAAACTTTCCTCCCTCTTCCATTCCCACATCATGGACGTTCTTTCCTTTTTATTATTATTATTATTATTATTGTTTTTCTTTTTTTTTTTTACTCTGCTGTTAAGTTTTTAACTTGTGCAGTTTTTATTTGTAATATTTAAACATTTTTGTTGTGCTTGAGTTCTGCCTAAAGATGCCAGGAATCAGTGTTAGCCTGAACACCTCACTTCCTGATTTGCCAGAGGCTCTGAAACAGCAAACCATCCAGGAAGAGGAGGTGTTTTTTTTTAATTCTGCGGGCTAATCAAATACATTTTTTCTTTGTATAGTTGCCTGGCAGGAAAACAAACAAACAAACAAAAAATCTTAATTTAATCTGGGAATCTGAAAGTACCAGGCGAGTAYTGAGCATTAATTCTGTTTGGTTTGATGGCACACGGTTTCATGTTGAAGAAGTTTGCTTGTTAAGGATGGAAGAGAAAACCCCTCTAATTAAAACTGTAGTTTGTATTCTTCTGCATGTTAAAGCTGAATGTTTTTAGATTATTTTGTATAAGAACGAGGAGAAAAAAATTGCACAGTTTGAGAACTTTTTCCATGTTCGAAAAAGGGACAGAAGTGTTCGCAACGTAAAATGACGGCTGGATGAACAAACGCGTGGATCATATTTTTGGATAAAGARGCTTTAGATTTAAGATTTTGTAATCATATTGTAAGAGCTGTTTGTTGACCTATTAGACCCTCAGAGTGACCCCCTCACCCCGAACTAACTCTCCACTCATTTATCTGCAGATACAGTACCTCCTGTTTCAGTTTGATTTGAAGGATCTGCTCGTGGTGTTSGTGTAGATTAGATTTTCTGTTCCCTGTTTGGATCTTGTAGTTGCACTTTACTCTGTGATCTGGTCTCATTAGAGTAGCGTTGGATACTCGTCAGCAAATCTAGAATTTGTTTTCACGCATTTCTTTCCCACATTAGTCCCAGTAAATATCTTTAAGGGGCATTCCATTGATTTGCTTTTTTATAAAAGTAGCAGAATTAGGCATGTAGAAGTGACTGGATTGTCCTCAGTGTCGTCTTTTTTTAGAGCATTAAAAATTGGGACTCTTGCACTTCTTTACACCAACGTTAGGATCAATGTAAGGTTTTAAAAAGTCTGGATTTCTGAGGGTAAATGCAGAGGATTGATCTGTAAATTCTGTAAATCACTTTAAATAATAGTTAATAATAGGCTCCGCCCACACTACTCCAGATGTTTTCTGTTGCGCCTCTCGTTCACGTCTGCATGTTGGGTTCTGAAGCTCATGCACCTAATGAAACAAAGGCTTCAGGTGCAGAGAAGTGTGCTGCTGCTAATTCTGTTAGCCAGGGATCTTTTATTTATGTTCCTTCATTTTCACCAGTTTGGCTCAACGTGGAGGAGGATGTATGTTCAGACRGAGCTGAGCTCACTTGAATTAGAATTTCTACTTTATGATCCTTTCAAAATAAACTAACGGTACAGGAAGTTGCTGTTTAGTTTAGATGAGCCTGCTTTCATTTAGTGCTCTAAAAAACTCAGATTTTTAGCTGTTTTATTGTTTTGATATTTGTTTTGTTTTATCTTGATCATCAAACTTCCARCATGTGCTGAAATTCTTAATAATGAAGTCAGTTTTTTGTTCTCTGTATTTTGAGTTTATGTTAATGTGGACAGTCCCCACACCTACTGATGAGGCATGAGTATGTTAAGTTTTTGTTTTTAAAAAAAGRAGGTATTGGATTTTAAATAAATGAAACATATCTGGAGTAGTGAAGATGGGACCTAAATGTGTTTTAACATGATAAAAGATACATTTTAGATTTGATAGTTATTTTTGTTTTTAACTTCTGCACATTAATGAAGTCAAAGTGAAAGTTCAGCTCTTTTAAAGTGCATTCTGCAGATGTATTACAAATTGTAGACCTCATACCTTTTCTACAGAACCCCGACTTTGTCTTTCAGGACCGATCATTTGTTGTCACTTATTTATTTATTTTTTTAACACTTGGTCAAACCTTTAACAACTATTTAAACATTTTAAGCCTAATTTGTTAGATTTATATCATATCTACTTATAAAACAAAAGTTATATTATTTAAAGTTGAATGTTTTTAACATGTTTAAATAGACATGTCAGGTATTTGAAATAGATTTTTGGCAATTTAACTTCATCTCTAGTTTATAGTGAAAATGTGAAATAATATTAGAGAACAAAGATTTCAGGAAGAAATCACTGGAATTCACCCTTTTTTTTTTTTTTTACAACCACATCCCACCATTTAGAGCGTATTTGTTGAACATAACGGGGACATTATAAAGTCTGCCTCACCTGGTCAGGTCTCAGGTTGGTACCAAGCACTTGGCTACACTTTTTAAGATAAAAGCGATGAATCAAAGTCCGCATGATGTTCTGTAGTTTTAACCGTAGCTTAAAGACCGTAGCATTTACGATGTTTAACGTCACTCAGGTTTTGTTTTGATAACGCGGAGTGAACCTGGGGACAATTGCACAGTGGGGGAGGGGGTCTCTTTTTATCATAAAAGTCAAACAGAAGCTCAAAATAAACTGTTTGTATGTGACATATTTCTACAGATGCCAGCTATGAAAACAGTTTTTTTAAGTAGCATGATCTGCATGCACTGCACCGCTGCAAACACCTTTCTATTCATTAGTTTTGTTGTTTTTGTTTACAGACTTTAAATATCACACTAAAGGGACGTGTATATGTTGCAGTAAAAACAATTTAGTAAGGTTTTAATAGTTTAAAATGCATTTAAAAGTTTTTTTCTAACTCAGGCGCTCAGATGAAATTGGTTTGTGACGCCGGCGCTGAATGTCTCGATTTGTTGTTGAAAAGATTTATTTCGAATAAGAGTGAAACGAAGCTCGGCACCGAGGTCACAGACAGGATCTCAGCCCAGAACTTTCATCAGGTTCTCTTCTAGAAACATATCAGCGAAAACATCAATTTAGAGATTTATATTTATATGTGTAGAACAATAAAAAGAAACTAGAGGCTGCCTTTATAAATAAATGCCAGAGGATTTTTTGTTTTCTTTTGTATTTGTACATTTAATAAACTCTTAATGCAATATATTTCCCTGCTAGTTTGGGGGTTCATGTTTACTGTTTCTTGTGGTACTGCAGTGTATTAATTTATTATGTGAACCTTTTGTTTTGTAACCATATTTTGACTGTAATGGTACAAATGTTTTGTGCCCTCTGCATTACAACTCATTTCAGATTAAAAAAAAAATGTACTTATTAAGATGTGGGCTTGTGTGTTTTTCACAATGTGTGTTTGGAGAATAATTCACATTTTTAAGGTTGGATCTAAATAAGTATAATTCTTATTTCTCAGCATATCATTAAACAATGAAACACCCAAACATCTAAATCCACTTGCTTAAGGTGTTATCAAATGGTTATATGTATTTTTAGCATTATATTCAGACTTATCAGTGCAGTTAGCAACTTTGTGAGGGCCAACTTTAATAGATAATAGTTTAATGGCATTGGTTTCATGAATTTAACGGGATTGTTTGTTCACAAGGCTTTGAAAAGCAGTGCTGAAGATGATAGCTGAGGTTTTAATTCATGGAAAATATAGACGAAAAGCTCCAAAAACAAAGGCGCCATTTTGAGTTGGATTTTACATCAACTTGTCTTTTACTTTTCTCTACAGTTAAAAAATAAAAACTGTGGCGTTTAAAGTTGGTGTGAGAGCTCCCCCTGCTGGCTGACAGAAGTTAAAACTGAGTTAAAACCAGACATCCAACAGTTTGGGGATAAACTAACATAAGTGTTGAGATTTTAAATGRTATGATGATTATGAGTCAGTCATAATACATTCAGTTAATTACCCTCTCTTGTATAAAAAGAAAAAAATCTAATTAAAGCTACAATTTATTGTAGCATCTAACAAGCTAGTGCTTGGAGTAAAAAATGTAAGTCTAACACTCAAAAAATCAAAGGAGTATATATAGGACACAAAATGTTTAATGTATGAGTTTTAAGCTTATTTGCTTTGACTGTTTCTTAGTGTTTTGTGTTAATTCAGAAAAGTTTTCTACAAAAGCACACGTCTCTCCCACAGTAAGAAACGTTCTTCCAGATGAACCATCAGGAACRTCTCTCCGTCCCCTCTCACAGTTAATCCAGTCATTTTGAAACGTCTCCCCTTTCTCTTTTCCTCCACGATCTTTAGACATGTTTTCACCGACAGTCACGCTGTTTTAAGTCGATCAGCGTGACCCGGACCTGTGAGCTCTGCGTTCAGAACGTCTTCTTCCATCCTGACCCGGAGTCCAGTCGGGCTTAAAGGTTGGTGTCGGTGAACATGGTGTGTTCCTTCCTCACCGTGCTGAAACCTTTGATGCTGTCGACAAACTCCTCATCATCCATGAACTAAAATGCAAGGAAACGAGAGTGTGGGGTTCAAAAAMAGACARTGTCTTACCTGTAGCAGATAGCTCTCATTTTGTAGAAGCAGTTTAACAGAAAATTACAGTGAAGGTTTCAAAAAAGTGTTTGGGATACACAGATTTATTTTCACTAGGCTTTAACTCATTTGGTCATTTTATTTATTAATGGGACAGTTCAGAGTAATGTTAATGTCAAAGAATCAGCTCAGTTTGTCAAAATTAAACTTAAATTTCTACAAACAATTTTTTTTTCTCACCATCCCGCTGTCATGGCCCGAGATGTGGGGGTCCCAGACGTCGTCCTCTCCGGTGAGAGATTTCCCATCCATCACCTGGCTGACGCTGCGTCTCAGGGAGTTCACACTGAGCTCGCCCAGGGGGTCCTCAGGTGGCCCCTCATCATCGGGGTCGCATTTAACTTCTAAAACTTCCTGAAGGGACGAGAAAAAATGTACTGACAAATGGAGCAAAAAAAAATCTGTTTTGTTTTGAGCTTTCTTTTTTTTTTTTACCTCTATCTTCATGGAGAAACCTTTCAGGGTCACACTGCTGGAAAAGCCTGATGTGTCAGGAACCGTATCAAACTGGRAARAAAGAGGAAGAAATAAAACATCAGCAGTTATTTAAAGTCTAAAACAAAGTTCTWACATTAGAGCAGCTGTTTAGGAGCTTACTGTGTGACTCAGCTTTCATTCTGTTTTCCTGTTTTTCATTTATTCAAGTTTTTTCAATCTACTTTTTTCAAACTTTAAATTATTTTAGCCATTTAGATACAAAACGTTCAGCTCGTTCTGATGACTCAGAATTGCTGTAACTTTATTTTAATTTAAACATGTAACTTTATTTACAAATATTTTCCTGATAAAACTACGTTGTTCTCTTCAAAAACATTCTCTGAAATTTGCTTCAGCGTTTAGTTCTGTTTTAGTCTTACTTCTAGTTTTTAGCTGCAGTTCTGCTGCTTTTAGCCACAGCATTTTTTATTTAGTSTAGTTAAACTTTAGCTACTTTTGGCTTTTAGTTAGCTATTTGATACATTTAGCTTTTATCTTGGGTTTTGCTACTTTTCTATTTTTGATGTTTTTAGGTTTTGCTTCATTCAGCCTTTAGCTAGTGTTCAAAAAGAAAAAAAATTGTATAGGTCTTCTGGACGGGTTCTTCTCTAATGAAACGTTTCGTCTCTCCTCCAAGAGACTTCTTCAGTCTGAGAGTTTCAGGCAAAATTCAGGCTTTTAAGCCCTGCCTCCATGTGACTGATACTCACATCACATGGCTATCGTTGACACCTAATTAACACTTATTGTTATCGGGGTGGAGCGATACTGGCAATAGCCGCGCTTTAGGAGGGGGACAACTGAAAATGGAGGCCTCCACCTCTGTTTAATGACGGACCGTCTTTCTTCACAAAAAATGGCTAGAAGAATGAAGAAAGACCGTCCATCATTAAACAGAGCTGGAGGCCTCCGTTTTCAGTTGTCCCCCTCCTACAGCGCGGCCATTGCCAGTATCACTCCACCCCCTGTTAACAATAAGTGTTAATTAGGTGTCAACGATAGCCATGTGATGTGAGTATCAGTCACATGGAGGCAGGGCTTAAAAGCCTGAATTTTGCCTGAAACTCTCAGACTGAAGAAGTCTCTTGGAGGAGAGACGAAACGTTTCATTAGAGAAGAACCCGTCCAGAGGACCTATACAATTTTTTTCTTTTTGATTTTTTTACCTTGATTACTGAGATGCATCAGGACGTTTAGCTAGTGTTCTGCTTTTTTGACGTTTCCTGTTTAGTGTTCTTGCTTGTTCATTTTAGCTAGTATTTTATTTGGCTTTATTATTTCTTTTGTTTGTTTTAGATTTTAGCTGCTTCGCTTCTTTGAGTTTGCAGTTGTTTTGCTCATATTAATCTTTAGTAAGTCTTTGGATTTTTTGGCTCATAGTCATTTGCTGCTTGTAATTAATGCTTTTAATTAGTTTTGTCACTTTTCGCTTGTGTTTTGCTTCTTTTAGCTTTGCCAGAGCTTCATTCAGCTCTCAGCATTCAAACAGTGGAATTTAATTGTTCACAGATTTATCAAGAGATTTTTTTTTTTGTAGGAAAGTTCAGCACGATAAAAACATCCAGAGATTCAGGTCACAACAATCTAAAATGAATGTCCCAAATGTCAGACGCTGGTTCTTTTGTCTAAACTTTCTGGGCCACTGAAGTAGAACGAGCCTCAGATTATTCAGGATTTATGATCCGTGCAGTAAAATAGCTCATCTGGTCAAGTTTCATAAGATAAAAAAGTAAAGCTTCTTTTTCACCAAGACTGAGTTGCTGGGTGGATAGACRGCCATGGGGCTCCTCTTCTGCATGGGGAGGGCCACCAGAGGGGGTCTCTCCCTAGTCAGGGGGGCCTTGTTAAGGGCCTGGAGCAACATGAAACAAAATAACAGTTAATGTTGATGTTTTTGTATTTAAAAAAGAAAGGACAAGAACAGAAACAAATGATGTCCTACTCTGTGAAGCATGACTCCTAACAGCACAGCCAGCAGGAGCAGAGCGACGGCCGACATCACCGCCATGAACCACAGCTCCCGGACAACATGGTGGTCTCCCTCTGCCCCATCATCAGCACCTCCTCCTCCTCCTCTAGGAGGAGTGGGGCTCTGGAAATCTGACGAAAGAAAAACAGCTCAAAAACACACACATCAGCCATTGCAATAAAGCTGAGCAAAACATAAAAGAATCAAAAGAGAAAACATTTTAAAACTCAAAATGACTAAAAACAGCTCAAACAAAACAGAAAATTMATTCAAAGCAGCTGAAAAGAATTTCGCTTTGTAAAAACGCAGCATGAATGCTTAATGCAGAAATACATAGTACGTTGTAAGATAGCTAAAATGTCTGAAATTAGCAGAAAACTTGCTGAAAAGATATATCTAGTGCAAAGAAGCAGCAACTGAAAGTGGTAGCTAAAATGATCACAAAAAGTTTATTTAGCTAAAATTAAAATTAGCTGAAATGACTAAAGTAGCTGAAAGGAGCACAAAAAGCTTAAATTAGCAGATAGAAGCACAAAATAMTTAAGCTCGATTGGCAGAAATGAGCCAAAAAAAATAGACGAAAAAGCAGGAAAACAGCTAAAATTAGAAGGTGTTAAAAGAAGCTGAAGGAAGCTAAAATTAGCACAAAGAATTTAAAAAGGCAGAACCAAAGGTGAAAAGGTTCAGGAAAGGTTTAATTATTTTGATGGCTCTGTTCATTTTCAACAAGACCAAAAATGGCAGAAAAGGATAAATATCTTAAAAAGTATAAATWGCTGAAATACCAAAAGTCATAATTAAAATGTCCTGAAGGAGCAGAACGTTTTGATAGCCTTTATAAAATGCTGAAAAACTGTAGGACTAAAATGTGGAACGTGATTCCTGCTGAAAGAAAAAGGGAGTAGCACAATAAACACTACGAATAMATGAGGAATTACTTGAATGAAACAAAAAAATAAATTAGAAAAAGGCATTTAAATAGGCCCAAAACTCAAGAAGTGACCAAAAATGTGCCTCTTTCAAATATTTCTGCAGATAAAACTCCTGTCTGCCAAAGGTTTTTTTGGTTTTTAATGATAGAATGACCATTTAATGAACACGTCTCCATCTAACTGAGCAGAGGGAGAAATGGAGACAAAACTTGACCCAGTTCTGAGTGGAGCACCGTGTTTTTGTTCCAGAAGAAGAACAATGTGGACAAACTGCTTCAGAGGACTCACCACTGCTGYGCTCCGTGGTTTGGCCTGTGGTCCGGATCCTGGCAGCTCATGGATCAGAAGGCCAAAGACCTACAGAGGGTTACCTGTCCTCCCATCAGTACATCTTCCTGCTGAGCAGCTCCTATCAGCAGTATTTTCACACAGTTGCCCCGATGTAAGACAGTAAAGAAGAGACGGCAAAGGAAAAGAAGCTTGAACCAACWGCATTCCTTCAAAACTCCCATCAGCCTTTGCTTTTCCTCGCCATGGTAACAGTGTCAGCTTTCAGTAGCAGAGATGAGGTTGTTGGATATCACCCCTCTGATACTCCAGCCCACTGTTTCTTCAGATTAACCCGACTGAGTCAGTGTATCACRTGATGGCCACTAATTGCTCGTATTTGTATTGTATATTTTTAAATGCCTGCATTCTTCCTCTCAGTGACCGGTCAGAGAAAATACGCTGTTTACTACATTTTTTATGCTCATTTTAGTTGATTTTCTTGTTTTACTTATGAAGTCTGGAGCTTAATGATCCAAACTCTTGCTCTGAAATCAGGACTCTCAGGTAAACCTCCATGTCCCCGGTGTCAGGCTGTTGTGGCTGTGTATGGTTCTTCCACATGCTACTAAAGCTCCTGTTTGTTCATTGATTAAATGGGTGAACTGCCAACATATTTAGTTGCAATATTACAAACAAGAGTCTGTAGCAGATTAACCTGTTTGGTAGGAGAAAAAATGGTAGTTTCATTAATACAAGTATCACAGTCTTATTATGTGTTAATTTCCACCTTTTAGTTTTAATTGGGGTAAATAAGAATGTTGCTTTTTTAATTAGTTTTTATTTGGTTGCCATCATTGTACTTAAGAGACCCACGAGAGCTTCAAAGATGTATTAATGTCTTAAAATAAGCTGCTTCAAAGCCAACATGGACCATAAACTACATCTCCCRTAATGCATGTTGATTATTTTACCCGCAAAAAGCTGGCATCTCACCGCTAGGTGGGCGTCCACAGGGTTCAAAGCAGCTGGGGAAATTCAGTGTAAAAATCTTCATTTTGCTACATTTCTGGCAGCTACGTACTTTTGTTTATTTCTTTTTAGTCAATAGTACACATAGTAATTTTCAATGTTTATAAGAGCACGTGTTAAAACACTGTTTCTATGCAAGAAAAACCGCGTAGAGCTCAGTTATTGTTTGTTGGTGATGCTAAGCCGAGACGAGGGACATTATGTTTCGTGTKTARTCRAAGTTAAACATGAAAAGTCCAAGTTAATYACAACTGGTCYTTTGAGGGCCACCATAATGCTCATGTGGCCCTTGGTGAAAATGAGTTTGACAGCCCCGATTTGAATATTTAACACAATTACAGAAATAGAACAAAGGTTTGAGCTTGTCTTTAAAGTTTTGGGTGCTTGTCAGGGTGCATACCGATATTTATAGGTTTAACAAAAGTATCTTTGCTCAGTAAAATAATAATAATAATAATAAAACAACAAAAACTCAGTGTTAATGATTGTGTTGCTTGCAAAACATAGAACGACCAGAAGATGGCGCCAGACAGCAGCTACAGGCTGCAGATAGTGTTGCACATCTCCACACAACTGCTGAACCAACTGAAATCAAACACACAAGATCAATTTTGAACAMCTTCAGCATGAATATTTTAGATATTTACAATTAAATATATTCAATGTAGAATTAGTATACTCCTCATTACAAAAGTGGACACTGTTTCTGGCTTCTCACAGACTTGTTCATAATAGTTGCAGGAAAGCTACTTACTAAAAACTATGAAATTAAACACATGGAAGGTTACTCTGAATTTGGACCCTATGAGGGAATTATAAGGCCCACATTYAAGAGAAGGCACAGCCCTCAAACAAACTAAAAAAACATCAAAATATTACAAAAAGTTATCAGTTTTAGTGTCTGTAGCCACCGGTTCTCAGACATTATTGCTTCATATCAAAGCCCCCCCTCCTCTCACTTTAAGTCTCAGCTCATTTGATTTATTTTTACAGAGGAGCTCTCCTCTGTCTAACAGCCTAATCAGCATTCATACGTTGCTGTGATGATTCGGTACAATGCTTTTTTTTATTGAGGAAGTGATCTCACCCTTGAGTGCCAGAATCAGCCTTTTTTTACAGCCCATCTCCTCTGGGGCCTCATCCATCAGCAGCGTGTTGGGGGCAACATGGCCACCAGACACCTACTAACTCATTTAAGGCGGGGGCGTGTGTKGGGGGGCCGAGCGTGGCCACATCACTCACCATCTCTAACTCACTTACTGACAGCCGACGTTGGTGGAAATTCTCCAGCTTGTTCCAAATCCCCCCGGTGCACGCGCCACCACTTTTTAACCACAAATAAATGAGGAGATTATTCGGCTCCTGCTGACAGAGAAGGACAAACGGGTTCACTTTGGTTTGATGTCATCGATTCATTCATCTTTACCCGACCCTCTTCTCTTCCCATTTTTGTTTCCTTTAACATCCTACAGCTAATATTTAATTGGATTTTTAACAATACCCCAATTTAGTGTTAATAATAGATGTTTTTAGGCATTAAAATGCAAATATATGCATGTTTAAATGCAATGTTTAATGTATTTGTTGGCATCAGGTTTTCAGCACATATGTATATTACTATATAACACACAGTACAAAAAACATGTAACAGATGAATTATATTCAATATGGCTGCAYTATTTGGGTTTATAAAAACTTATCTAATAAGAGAAAATATATCACCTAACATACACCAAAACACAGATGTAGTGGATTTTAAATAAAACAAATATGTCCACTGTTTCTACTCAACTGAATTAAGTAAAGATAATGAATTTACTTTACTTTACATTTACTTAAACTCAGTGCAAAGTAGGCCTAAATGTGTTACTTTTACTCAATTCAGCTGAGTGGAAASAGTTAATTTTTCTTCTTTTTGCTAAATCCACTACATCTGTTTTTTGAGTGTACAATACAATAAACTATCAGGTATAATATGATATAGTAGCTAATATACAATATGCAATAAGTTACAATATATTACCTATATATGGATATTCAATATACAGTGGGGAAAATAAGTATTTAGTCAGTCACCAATTGTGCAAGTTCTCCCACTTAAAAAGATGAGAGAGGCCTGTAATTGACATCATAGGTAGACCTCAACTATGAGAGACAAAATGTGAAAAAAAAATTGAGAAAATCATTTTGTCTGACTTTTAAAGAATTTTTTTGCAAATAATGGTGGAAAATAAGTATTTGGTCACCTACAAACAAGCAAGATTTCTGGCTGTCACAGACCTGKAACTTCTTTTTTAAGAGGCTCCTCTTTCCCCCACTCATTACCTGTATTAATGGCACCTGTTTGAAGTCGTTAACAGTATAAAAGACACTGCCCACAACCTCAAACAGTCACACTCCAAACTCCACTATGGTGAAGACGAAAGAGCTGTCKGAGGACACCAGAAACCGAATTGTAGACCTGCACCAGGCTGGGAAGACTGAATCTGCAATAGGCAAGCAGCTTGGTGTGAAGAAATCTACTGTGGGAGCGATAATCAGAAAATGGAAGACATACAAGACCACTACTAATCTCCCTCGATCTGGGGCTCCACGCAAGATCTCAGCCYGTGGGGTCAAAATGATCACAAGAACGGTGAGGAAAAATCCCAGAACCACAAGGGGGGATSTAGTGAATGACCTGCAGAAAGCTGGGACCAATGTTACAAAGGCTACCATCAGCAACACACTATGACGCCAGGGACTCAGATCTTGCAGTGCCAGACGTGTCCCCCTGCTTAAGCCAGTCCATATCCAGGCACGTCTGAAGTTTGCTAGAGAGCATTTGGATGTTCCAGAAGAGTATTGGGAGAATGTCATATGGTCAGATGAAACCAAAGTAGAACTATTTGGTAAAAACACAACTCGTCGTGTTTGGAGGAAAGTGAATGTGGAGTTGCATCCAAAGAACACCATACCAACTGTGAAGCATGGGGGTGGCAACATCATGTTTTGGGGCTGTTTCTCTGCAAAGGGACCAGGACGACTGGTCCGTGTACATGAAAGAATGAATGGGGCCATGTATTGTGAGATTTTGGGTGCAAACCTCCTTCCATCAGCAAGGGCAATGAAGATGAAACGTGGCTGGGTCTTTCAGCATGACAATGATCCCAAGCACACTGCCAGGGCAACAAAGGAGTGGCTTCGTAAGAAACATTTCAAAGTCCTGGAGTGGCCTAGCCAGTCTCCCGATCTCAACCCCATCGAAAACCTTTGGAGGGAGTTGAAAGTCCGTGTTGCCCGCCGACAGCCCCAAAACATCACTGCTCTAGAGGAGATCTGCATGGAGGAATGGGCCAACATACCAGCAACAGTGTGTGCCAACCTTGTGAAGACTTACAGAAAACATTTGACCTCTGTCATTGCCAACAAAGGATACACAACAAAGTATTGAGATGAACTTTTGTTATTGACCAAATACTTATTTTCCACCATTATTTGCAAAAAATTCTTTAAAAGTCAGACAAAATGATTTTCTCAATTTTTTTTCACATTTTGTCTCTCATAGTTGAGGTCTACCTATGATGTCAATTACAGGCCTCTCTCATCTTTTTAAGTGGGAGAACTTGCACAATTGGTGACTGACTAAATACTTATTTTCCCCACTGTATAATAGCTAACATAAGGTGCAATATAAACGATAGAAGACAATAATGATGCAATAAAGCATCTAACATGTAATGTGATATAATACGCCATGACGTACATAATTTTTATTCTTTTACTTTGTGTTTATTCCTATAACAGCTTTTTATTTCTTGTACAGGCTATTTTTTTATTTTGATATTTTCTGTATCGTCAACTCAGCTCCTTCAAACACTACAGTACAATACAATACTCCACGATATACTTCATTATTTATKCTTCTACTTATTTTTTATAGTACTACCTATTTTTTTGTTTGCTTTTGTACCATACAATCTACATTTTTTAAGAGACATTTTATTTTGTGTCAAGCACAATTTCTTAGACATGCAAAGAAGTGTTTTTCAAAGTGAAGTCCGCTAGGGAGGCCTCAGAAAGGCAAAAATAAAAAACATATTTAACTCGTCATAAAATCAAATATTTATCAAACATTTTAAAATATAATTTCGTTTCATTTTTGTTCTTATCGTCAACAGTTGAAACTTTTTTTAGTGGAAATAAAATAGCATTTAAAACATGTTAGTAAAATTCTTATGCTAAATGTAATTATTAATTGAATAAAAGTGAAAGAAAACATTCAAAAGGTAATGTTTCTATGTACATATTTTTGCAGCATTGTTTGTGGGTTTGCAAGGGAGTTTCCCACTCATGGCATGGGTTCGGAAACCCCTGTGTTAGAATATAATTCAGCACTATGTATATATAAGGTACTCTACATTTATGATTTTATTATCCTTTTTATTTTTGTACAGAACAAACTGTTTTTTGAAATGTCTAAATATGTCCTTTGATACACTGTTTGATACAAGTACTAAAAACTACAATATTAATTATTATTTTGTTCTTCTATTTTGTTTCTTATTCTACTCTTTTGGACTGAACTTTTTTTATTTATTTATTTAACTATTTATTAATTTTTGCTAAATTTTGACATTTTGTAATTATGTCGCCTGGATATTTTTTTTTTTTTTTTTTTTTGCTGTGACAAAATTATTTCCCACACAAGATTAAAAAGGTACTTAAGTGTCTCTTTTGCTCTCTATTGTCCTCCTGGGGAAATTTATTTTGAACCCAGTGGTGTCCCAATTCCTACCTTCACAAAGGATCTATTAATAGAATGACGTATAATCAAAATTGTATTTTTTAATGTGATGTATATACACTGTTAGAAGTTGCGCATATCATAAACTGGGCATGCGGCTATTTTACACAAAGAATAGCTAAAATTATAATTGATGAAATGTTCCTAACATTATAAACAACATGTAGTGTTTTTTTCCTGCAGATTGGAAATCAAAGAGATTTAAGTGTTTAGGAGTTACTATAAATAGTATATTAGAAAAAAGAAGCTTGTTTTTCTCAGTATGCCTGTATGACAAAGCGATGAGTGGGATGCCTCTGCTTCAGACTCAACAGGCAGCTGATGACCAGCTCTCTCCAGGGCCACTGTTAGACTTCATTACATTATGGCTGTTAATTATAAATCTCCATCCAACTGGGCTCGGATGGCCTAAAAGTGCCGTAATGGGTCTTCCATGGAAATAACAGTCCATTGTCAGGCTGTACAGAATCGTCTGTGTCCACTTACCAGCTCTTAATGAATCGCCTTCAAAGCCCTCTGAGCTTTATTGAGGAAGAAGACACTCAGACACTACGAGCTTTGCATTAAGGGGACGGTCTTTATTGCCCAAGAATCCACCTGAGAATGAAACAGCACAGCTCGTTCAGGCAAATCTTTAAACACCTCTGCTGGTATGAGACACGATCTACACACAGCAACTCTTACATGACATATTTCAACCTCGTACCGCTGCTTCATCTTGTCACAAAGAAAAAAAAAAGTGCCACAAGGAGCAAAACTTGGACCTTTTTTTTTTTTACAGCGTGCTCATATTCCCTTCATTCGACACGTGTGGCAAAAGACTTCAGTACTGCGACTCTTCAAACAACACTAACAGATTAACAGCGCCCCCCACCCAACTTCATGGCTAAAAAAAATTTTAAATAGTGCACAAATTTCTTCCTACACATAGACCTCTACTATAGAAAACACATCCTTCGTAGTCCAAGGTTTACAGTATGGCAGCCTTTATAYAAGAGTTCTACACAGCTCGTTTATATGATCCTGAAGCAAAAAGACTCCACTTTTAATTTTATAATGACGTTTTTGATGCTGTGATACAGAGTTCAGTRTCAGAGTCGGAGCGGAGAAGCTGGTAAAATATTATCTTACATAAACAATTAAAAATCATTCATTGACGTTAGACAAACTAACAGAACAGAGCCGCTTTTAAATAAATAATTGTTGCATCGAAACATGTCTTTCCCTGAAATAGTAAAAGCAGGAGGCCTGTTCTTTTATTAGATGCCAATCAGCTCCCAGCAGCAACACAGAAACAAAGCAACGACGTCGTGAACATCTCCCAAGCCACGTTAAATGATTCTGGACGATTGCTGGTATGTTCTGGTTTAACACGAGTCTACTCTTTGGCAAAACTAACTGTTTACATCTTATTTAATCGTACTGTACAAAACAAAAAGATATGTAACACCTAATCAGAGAGGCTCTCTAGATGCACTAGAATGCAGATTTTACAGGCTTCAAGATGAACAACATAATCCTCGTGGATTTTCAAGTATCAGGTGCGTTTTTTTTTTTTTTTGACAAAAGAAATTACGTTTGGCATGTAATTGTAAATATCTTTAGAAGGCGATTCCTCTGCTTTTAAGCCGTTGGTTCTTTTGTCGGAACATTAGCCTGTTGAGGTCTTTTTCTTTTTCATACGAAGCAGGAGGGCTGTCTCCAAAACTCTTCCAGCCGATATGTTCCCAGTGAYGGCAAATTGTCAAATGCTAGTTAACAAAAATGGACACACCCGCTATTACTCATAAGCCCATTTCTTCAACTTGACCCGGTTCCGTTCCGACCCAGCAGCCGGCTCCTCCTGTGTTCTGATCAGGCTTTGGCCTCCAGCAGTTCGAGGAACAGTTTGTGCATGGGCACACGGCCGTCCTGTTTGACGCTGCAGAAGTGCTGCACGGCTCGGGCGGCCGTCTGGCGCAGGAGCGGGAGCGTCATGATCAGCTTGCCTGCGCGCCGCGAATCCTCTGGGTGGAGGGCGGCCTCGTAGTCCTGCAGGGCCCCGTGAAGGACATCCTGGAGTCTCAGGACTGCCTCAGAGTCTTCGATTTGCATGGAATCTAAGAGGGGGGATAAAATGGAAAACTAATGTTTGATATTCAAACAAAGCCAAGCGTGAGCTGAGTCCTGTAAGGTCCAGCCTGGTACCTGAGTTTGCCAGAGCRATAGCTTTGAGGAGCACAAACTCCTCCTTTTCCAGGCMCATGCTTTTGTACTTCTTCACCAGCTGCAGGATTGCGTTGTTGAGGTCCAGGAGCCCCGCCAGCTTCGACTGCTCCTCGTCCATGATGTAGTCCTCGGCATACACCAGYTTGTCCTCCAGGGTCAGGGAGCGAAACACCACTCGAAGGATCAAAATCTCCATCCAGCCGCTCTGCAGGAGACTCATCTGGTCTGCTAAAGAGAGCGAAGGGAAGCCTGAGGAGGAGAGATGGAGGAGTTCAGTAACTTAACTCCTCCTTATTGTAACTCCACAAGCCCCGTTCACCCCTCTTCTGAGGCGTGCCTCAGATCAACTCATTTCGATGCTGTTTCTTTAAACCCAAACGAGGCGCTTCACTTCCCCTCCGGCTTCCAGACTGGTCCATTCCTGTTTGATAGAGGAGTTTATGACTATATAGCGGCTCAGAAACTTTTATTTTTTGTACAARTGAATTAAAACAAAATGCATTTAAYRGYYAAAAAAGTGGATTTTGAACAATGTCTTCTTTAAGATTCAGTTCTTCTGGATCTGACAGAAATGAGGCGTGTTATGAAGGTTTTGAGGTGGTTGTATCTGTTTATATTAATATGTCAGGATGAGTGCAGATGAATGATTTTACCTATGAAATGGTCACAGCAAAGGGCAGAAGTGAAGGACAGGAGGACAGAATTGGTTGTAAATTTAATTACTCTGTCAGACACACCTACTTTGACTGACAATTACACTCCACAGGAGTATGATTAAACCTGCTAACTGCCCCCGCATAATCCTGCACACACACACACACACACACTCACATACAAACACACATGTTTACTGTAATTAAACAGATGATTTTACAGAACAGGGAAAAGGAGGGGGAGGTGTTTGTATTTTTAACACCGTCGCTGATTATTATCAGGATCCACTGCTTTTTTACAATCACCACGGTAAAAAAGCAGTGCCCCCCCCCCAACACACACACAAACACACACACACACACACACTACCCCTGATTGATTGGAAGCACTGTCAGTGCACGGTTTCATTGGTCGATAGAGATCAGTGTTCTGGCACGGGGCCATCGATCGGGACCAGAAACCTGCACGAGTCTGAGCAGGATTAAATCTGTAGCAATTTATTGATGGATTTTATGGACAAAAACGGGTTAAATCTTTAAAAAAGATGTTTTAAAAGAACGAAGGAAAGATCGATGAGGGCAACAACCATGGAGAATTTATTTTAAGACGTTTCCATTAGGTTTTGAAGCATTACGTCATAAACAGACACTTTTCAGCAACGCAACAAAAATCCCATTTAATCACATTGATGCTAACCAGTTCCCCTTTTTTTACATTTACTACTTTATTAAAAGCACTTCCTAATATCACTAGACAACCTACTTTATTTGCTCCAAAGCACATCATATAAACACCTCCTTTTCTTTCAGCTTGGCAGTTCTGTCGCCTTAAACGCACGTATTCAACAGCCAGCGTGCATCAGCGACACAAAAAGGCCAAAACCRCACAGAGGGCAGTCGCTCTTTAGCCGGCTCATCTGCCAGCGTGGCCCTCCGACTTCAGACCACATCACTGTCAATCTGCCTGATGAGAGTGGACACAGAGGAGTGGGACAGTAGCCCCCCCGTCACACTCACCTCCCCCTGGGCACAGAAGTCAGATGGCCCGGGACGTTCGGCCCAGGGCCCGGGGTCTCCCGGCACCGTGGGCTGTTGTGTGTCCTGCCACTCATCCAGAGCTGATGTGACACGGCCATTACGCTGCCAGGAAGGAACAGCCAGACTTTTTTTTTAAATCCCCCTTTTCTCTGCGTGTACATCTCTTCAAGCTAAATTTCTTTTCTTTTCTGTCACAGTTTAAAATCCTTTAATTCTTCAACCTCTTGCATAATTAAAGCAGCGGTTTGGTTTCTTCTTCTCTTGTAATGCTCATTAGATGATTTTCTTTTTTTTTACTGATAAGACGCCGCATCATTAATTCATAGCCACACATTATCAATTTATTTTCTAAAGGAACAAGTTTGGTAATTTTTTTTTGCTTTCCTGTTTATTTTTAATGGAAGGCTACATACAGCTACACTACAACAGATTGTCTCTTCCTGTGAATTGACTAAATACAATTTTTAAATTTGACTGGATTAAACTAAATTTAAAGGAGGTACGATGTAATGTTGATGATGGGTGGATTTTGTGGAAAGTAGGCAAGGCTAACTGGTTTCCTCATGTTTCCAGTTTAATGCTGAGAAAGCCTAATCAGGTCAAACTGGTTGGAGTCGACTCGCCAAGTGATTGAAGGTTTCTGAGAACCTTTACTGACTGGATGTTCCAGCAGAAGTGTTTGATTGCTACAAACAGGAGTAAAATATTCATTCCTTGAAAGTATCTGAGTATGTGAGGATTACCTGAGGTTTAAATGTATTTTACTTTTAAATGAACCCGTCTTTGGGTTCTCCTTTTATTTCTTCCCCCGCAGGATGTCATTTTTTTCCCAGTCAAAGATGCGTTTTGTTTGCCAAAACATGCCTGATTCATTTTGTTTCTTTTATTTTTGGAGACATTTCAGAATCTTGAGTAAAACATGTTTGACGTCTGAATAAAACACTGGTTGGTATCAGCAGTGGAAACCCTCCGCTGGCAAAGGGCGACAAACACACACCCAGCAGTTGGACTCCATCTGTCTCGTGCGGTGACAGTAAAAAAACGAAGGAGAAGAGTCAGACAGCAGGAGCCTGGGGGGTGAAAAGAGGAAGATTTCCTAAACAGAGCCATGGAAATGCTGATGAGGGACAAACTCACACTTAAATGACGGCCTCACATCAATTGTGCAGAAAGACATTTTGGGACAAATACAGCAGAGAGATAGAAGCACAGGCACGCCTGTTTTGTTTGTTTTGTAAGCATTTCAGAGACGAGGCATCAACAAAAAAACCCAGGTGTTTCCCTTGTTATGTTTTGGGTGTGGATAACCCCGCTGATAAAGTACCGAAAACGATACGATAAGACACTGAAAACAAGTGAAGCTTTTAATGTGCAACCTGAAATGTTTGAAACGTCACACAAACTGTTTTATTTGACGTGGCCCAAAGATTAAGAACTTTAGGAGTAACTTATATAATTTCCATTAAATACATGTTAGGATTTCAGGACGTGTCCACCAGCTTGAAGAGGTTCCTGGTTAATCAGTTGGTATTTAATAAGCAGCCATCTTTAAATGTGCCCTCTTTTTTTCACTGGACTTTACACTCATGTTTGGATTTTTCACTGATTGTCTTTTAAAACAAACTAATTTGGTATTAGCTTTGATGCTACAATCCCTGTGTGGCAAGGTTATAATAGTTTTAGATTTTTCCTTATAGTTTAGTTTTATTTCGTTGTGACTTTTTTCATTTAATTCAGTTAGTTTTAATTAGTTTTTACAGTGGATTTGCTAGTTTTTATTAGTTATTATTGCATTTTTAATGTGTAGTTTTGATTTACTTTAGTTTTTATTAGTTTTATTATTATTTTTTAATAGTTTGAATAAACATATTTGCCAATGCATCAAGCTTGTGATGTTCCTTTGAGTTAACTAAGCAGCAGCTATTTGGTCACTAGTTAAAGCAGTCCATAATAGCGACACCTTCCTAAAATAATTGCGTTACTCAATTTAGCCAACTAAAAACTTGGGTGATTATTTTAGGACGATGACAATAGTTGTCTCCAACCCGCTGCTACTTGTTGCTTGTTTTTCAGAGATCCACGTCTCAAAAATAAATTGACAAACACTAAAACTAAGGATATTCTAACTATAGTTTCAGTTAGTTTTAGTTAGTTTTCTAAAAAGATTTTACAGTTTTAGTTAGTTATCGTTTTTTTTCTTTTCATTTTATTACAGTTTTTTATTTATTTTAGTTAACTAAAATGATTTTTCAATTTCAGTTATTTAGTTAGTTTTGATTAACTATAATAACTCTGCTGTGTGGACAGAGGGTGCACCATTATCCACAAGGATCATTCCTTAACTTTATAAATGATTCAGTGATATAACATTAAAATAGTGCTTATTGGTTTATGATTATTATGATTATGAAATGATCAAGGAGCAACTAACGAGTGGTGAAGGTGGAGCAGAATGTATCTGAACGTTCCTCAGCTCTTCCTGTGACAGAAGATGAGCTCAGAGCGTTCCAAGAGTCAGGAGGATTTCAGTAAATCAGACTGAACAGGGGGACGGCTGAGGCCCTGGAAGCAAATTAAAACTTCCATGTGGCCGCTCGTCATCTGATTGGTGTGGGAACACACTTTGGTCAGCGAGGGCATGGCACGCAATTTACAGTACACACACACACAAACACAAAGACTGACAGATAACACAGCTGAGCCAGACCTTCCCTCCCCTCTCTGGGCCGTCTTGGCAACCGCAAGTCAGAGCAATCCGTTCTGTGATCTGATTAGGGACTTAGTGGACGTAATGTGTGTGTGGCCGCTCGTGTGAGGGAACATATGAGTGAGTGAGACAGGGAGATTTAGCCTGAATCATACCAGGGATGTGTTTGGCCCAGCCGATGTTGACCACCAGCTCTCTGTCGGCGAGGTCACACAGTGTGGTCAGGGCCTTGATGTCGCTCTCGGGGACCATGGGGTCCGGCATGGCGAAGATGCTCTCCGGCTCGGCAACAAGCAGCAGAGATACCACCTTGTTCTCCACTGCACCACCTACAGAAACTACAAAAGTTTGCTATTATTTTTAGATATTTTACAGATGTTTGTACATTATTTATTACCTTCCGCAAACATGAAACAATGCAGAAAACAGGAAGAAAAGTACACAATCACTAACTAATTACCTCGAGGAAGATAATTCCTCATCATGTTTTTCTATTTTAATAATTGTATGTTTTTGGCTGTTCATGTCTTTGTCTTAATGACTTTATGGTTTTATCATACAGTAATGTTCACAATAATCTAAAAGCTCATTAATCTAGGATGTCTTAACACAGTTTTGTATCCTTACATGTTTTTTTGTGAGGCAGGTTGCTTTGTGGTTGCAGATATGGGCTGTTCTCCGCATCTATTCTCCTCTTGTACTTCTGTCTGCCGCCTCGAACCCGGTCCAGACGCACACCTACATCAACACAATCACAGGATATTATTGATGAATGTGTGTCACTCCATAAATATACAGTCATGGGTGCCCTTATGTCATCATGCTGTATGTAAATAAACAGGTGCGTATGAGGAAATACGTTTTAACGGACTTTTTGACTCAGGAAGGAAAAAAGGAAAAAAAAATAATCAATTTGTAAAAATAACTAATTTTGTGACATTATACAGTCCTAGTACTGTGGATTTTAGGTGTTTTAAACTCTACTTAGGTGGACGAGTATTTCTATGAACCATTAAGGCAGTTTTTTTTAAACTAGCTAAACTAAAATTTCCTTAAAAAATTAAATCTGATCGGAACGCAACAATATTCGACAATTAGATTTAGTTTAGTTTTAGTTTAGTTAGTTTATTCATTTAATTTAAAACAAAAAAATTGTACACATTAAAAACAAAACAAAAAAATACAGAACATAGATACACAACGAAAAAATATACAAATCAAATTGAAATGAAAGGAGGCAGAAAGAAGAAAAAAATCTTATATCTGCCCCTTTTTTCTATAATTAATTTCAAGCAATAATAATCAAGAAACAAAAACAAAATAAAACTTCAATTGTCCTGATGCATCTCAGTAATCCAGGTAGAAAAAATCAAAAAGAAAAAATAAGTAGGTCCTCTGGATGGGTTCAAAACTTCAATTCCTTCTCAAACAACTTTCACATACATTATACAATTTCATATTTCTTTAACAAACTTATTTTTATCCTTCTCTTAAAGAAATACATTGAACCAGCATTTTTATACTCACTTTCCAGATTATTCCACAATCTTATTCCCTGAACTGAAGTACATCGGTCCTTCAGGTTTGTTTGAATTCTAGGTTTCACAAACATCTCAAATCCTTTAAGATTATAAGAACTTTCTCTCTTAACAAAATATAACTGGATGTTTAAAAGGTAACATTTTTTATGAGCTTTATACATAAGATTTGATAATTACATGTTTCGAATAACTCAGTCAGGAGGAAGTGGCTCCATTGGGTTGAACCCGGTAAACCAACGGGTCGCCGACCCACACGTATTGTCGACTTCGAGGAGACCGAACGGGACCGGGTGTAATGCTGGCGCTGCAGCACATCCTGTAACATGACCTCTTTACGTTAGAGCGGTTAGAGGCAACCGCTCAACCTAACAACCCTGTCGACGTAGGGTTTAACAGTGTGTAACAGCGTTAGTGTGTGTAAACTGGATGCTTAGATGAAAATGTGAATGGAGGAGCAACACACGTACTAAATATTAGCTACAAACTGCAAAAAAAAGGCTTGGACAGTAAACATGACTCAGGAAGCCTTCGGTTGTGGTGTTGGGTTACTTGGTCTGCTCAGAGTAAATAGCCATAGAGTCCCTGAATAGATCTATAATGGCATCTGTAAAAAACACACTGAGGGTATTGTTTCCCCTCTTGACACCTCACAGCCTGCGGTTCTTATTCCAACTTCTGCAGATATTTATGGACAGCATGCATCAATATATGGAACAATAAACTGCACAATGTTCTCTTGATCGTGAGTTACTTGGTCTGCTTAGCGTACATAAAGTCTTGAATGGTTTTATTGGTTCCATTCCATTAGTTTCCAAAGCTGTTTTGTCTTATTTTATAAGTATGTTATGGCTAATACATAATATTTGATATAATCTTACAGAATATGTGCTGTATACAGCAATATCCCATAAACAGAGGGGATCTGTACATGTAGCCTACGACCTTCAAGACGTTTAAAAGTGCACATAGTGCCCAACAGAAACAAACTGTCCCGCTAATATCAGATTATATTACAATAAAATGTGGCTGTAATATTCCTATAAACATAACGGACCCTCACAACATCCTTCAGCAAAATGGTGTTGGATATTTTATAAGAGGTATTAATATATTTGAAGTCACCTTTTAGATGAACCCTTATCTTAATTTTTAGAGTTTGTTGTTGTTTTTTTGTACCCAGACCTCCCAGCCATCATCCCTGTATGTTGCCCCGTCCATCTTTATTATCTCTGAGCTTCACTAAAAGCTGCTGCTAGAACGTCTTTACAAAACTAAAACTCTTAACATCTTTAATGCAACAGTTGCCAGTAAATGACAGTTTTAGGCCTTGTAAACTTGGGCAAAAACTTGCAAAATGAGTTGTTGCAAAAGTTTGCCTCTATTTACTATATAGCTGACGTGTATGTGACAGGAAGTCAGAAAAAGGGACGTGAAGTATGTCAGTCATGCAAAAACTGTCTCATAAAAATGTTTAAAATTTTTTAAATTTTTAAATGGAGTGTAAAAATTTTGCACGCAAGCAAACAGCTGTTTGAGCTCTTGCCAAATGTTGATTAAGCACTCGGAGCCCAGCTAAATATTTCAGTAACCTGGATTTTAAAATAACAAGCTTATATTGTGATGCACCGCATGGTTACAGAAAAGAAACTACAGTCATGAACATGAATGTTATTGAGATCAGCTCTTTGTGAAATTACTCGAAATGTGTTATTTTCGCTAGTGGTAGCCAAACACTTATATGAACACAAGGATTTTAACAGAGGGTGTACTTCCGATTGCAAATGAGCGAACGTGACTTCTTTGTTTTTAATGGAAACAGGCTTTTATTGACTGTGGCATCTCACATGGAGGCTCTGAAATTAACAGCAACACATGTTCAAATAAAGCCACAATCATTTAGGAGCCAGTAAAAGTTTCAGCTATACTAGATAAGATATATTTCTACCAGCTGGGTTGACTTCTATGTTCCAGTTAAAAATATTAAATTAGAAAAAGGAATGTTTCTTGCTGTTGAGCTCTACGGGCATCCTTTGTATGAAGATGTGGTAGTCACTGGACTGAACCTCACCTCTGTGAGTAAGCCTTGCCCTATAACACTGGTTCAATAGAACCAACAGAAAAAACCCACAGCATCTCTACTCATCTAGTTTAGCCTGTTCTGAATCCCCACTTCCATTCCTGCTGCCACCATGTCTTCACCACAAACAATCCCACGCTTCAGAAACAAAAAACGTCTTCAAAGGCCACGTCTTCTTCAGCGCCACAAAATTGCCAGTTTGGACTTTGCAAGGATGCACCAAACATGGGACATTGAAAGGTGGAAGAAAGTTGTCTTCT